AATATATGAAGTGTTATATACCATTAGGTTCTAGAAAATTGAGGTCTACACAATGGTGTTGTTTGTAGGTCAATCGGATGCCAATTGAAGGCATAAATCAGAGTAAAAGGATGTTCAGGTCCAGATAATGTATGTAGTTTCTTCAATGCCCTGCTAGTACTATCTTCTGCCCTATGTAATGAAATTGTCCTGCAATATAATAATAAAGCTAGATAGATGAAGCAGTGAGCATAAAGACCAGGTAGTGTGCATACAATCTGGCAATGACCTTCAGCCACAATCAGTATTTGGTGCATTAAAGCTTGTGTATCCACAATGAAACCATGATTGTACCACCATTAGATGAACATTGAAACACCCTTTCCAATCATATATAAATGTCCTATGTTATGGTGAGGAATGAGCCAACAGGGGGCAAAATGGGTTGCAGCTGTGGCTGAGAACAAACAAGACCATACTTGGTGGCAGGGGAACGCTGAGCTGCGTTCCCCTGCCACCAACTGTGGTCTTGTTTGGTTCCCAACACAAATGTCTCAATATCTTGGCCCCCAGTTGTCCATATGCCACAAAATATGTATCAACAGAGAGCTATGGATGAGCAGAGTCCATATATTTAAAAATGACCTGGATGTGACTCATGCAGCTGCCACTATACACAGTACAAAATCCTATTAGTGCCACAGTTGGGGAAAAAAGCGCCCAAAGCACATGACCTGATGACATCATTGCCTCCCCCTAAGTGTCATATACCACCAGACTCAGAATTTCAATCTCTACTCCATGGTACTGTCTATATATTTAGTAATAAAATCTGGAAAGAGCTCAAACTATAATAAATGCAGTATTGCAGCTGATGTGTGGCATTGCACCATATATGGCAATCTGATTGGGCAATGAGGTCACATAATCATGCTTATGGAGTGTGTTCAATGGGGTAATCCATGTTTGAAGCATCAAATGATCATAAAAGTGCCTAAACACATTGTCTTGCTGAATAGTGCACTGTTGCCCTTCAAATAGAGGGGATACTGTGAGCATAAAAGAATTATTTCCCAAAACTTCAATGAAATAAATGTATCATGACATGATTTCCATCTAAAGAATACAATCAGGCCATTTATTGAAGGCCTATCCAATCAAGGCCTTGATCAAGGTATGTCTAATTCATTACATAGCATAAAATTAGCTACCAAGATGAATGTCTTGCTGAAACTCCTCTAAATGTTGAAGTATGTGGTAGGTATGGGTAAACTCCTACTTAAAGCTGCCTAGGCTGAAGGGCTAATAATCACAGAAAATTTACCTCAATCAATGTGTCAATGTAAACAGGCTGAGACACCGCTGCTCAAACCGTTACGCCAAAAGGCAGTTTAACTGAAAGGTTATACTCTCAGCTAACGCGGTGTATATATGCACTACCGGCATATCTGTGCTAAGCCTACAGCCAGGCTTACAGTCAATGGCATGACCATTATATAAAATCAATATGACTACACTGATAGTAATAATGTGACTCTAGTTACTGATATTGTTTGGATTATGAACTGACCTGCTAATGCTGAGATGATCAAGAAATGCTATAAGAGTCTTCTGCAGAGAATAAAATGAAGTCTGGGTTGAGCCATGTTATAAAATGAGAATATTTGTATCTTGGTGAGAATTGTCAAGTGACACATCTGATTGTTATAGCTGAGTACCCTGGGCAGTTAAGGTAAGCTTCCATCATTGATCTACTTGAATACTGTGACATCATTATACTATACCAGTGGAGGAAATTCCCTGGTTTATTTATGCAGTGCCTTCGATAGCATCTATGTTAGGGTCCATCAATTTAAGTGCTATATCAAATAATGCATATTTGAATACCTTGAAGACAATAAAAAATGCTTAAAACCAAAAATGGGAGTTTGGATGTCTGAATTTTTTAGCGGATGACAGCAGTGGAATTGATACAAGATCAATGCATATGGATGATGTGGATTGTTCAAAGGCTCATATCTACTACATATATCAAAACAGCACCCATAGTGTGCTCTGGGCCAGATCTAAATGCATTATTAATCTAAATTCTTAGCCCAACCATATGAATTATAATAAGATATATGTACCCTCATCAATCGGACCTGCCAGTTATGGCCCTCTCCAGCCAAGTGCAAATGAAGAAGATGAAGGCGCAGATGATGGAGCCTGTCCTTTTGTTGTGCATGGATTAACAGGAGCAAGCCTTGAGCACATGGGAAAAGTCAGACCATATGAGATCACTGCACGAGCTATTGAACACTTCAAGTCTGGAGGCAAAGTATTTGGCATTGGTCAATCTGCAGAGCCAGAGAGTTTATACCACAACCCTCAGCTGTATCCTCAGATGTTCCCATGGTTATTCCCATATGGCTTAGGTGGACTGAACAATGCTGCAAGTGGGTGTCGACCTGTCTCTGAGGAGCGGAGAAAGCAACAATTGCTGATGTACCATGATAAGCGCTTTCAACTGGAGCCATTATTTCCACTGGTTGCATTAAATCATGAGCAGATCAAAAAATCCACCACAGCTGGATATTTGTTGGCAGACAAAAACAAATTTGGTGAAATAGCCAACCGGCTTCTGAACATCAAAGACTCCACCCTGGCAGACATTATTCAGCGGCTTAGCACCGGATCTATGAAACCAGAGACTGAAGATGAAAAGGCTTGCTTCAAAATATTGAATGACCTGGATCATGTCAATTATAAGGTGCAGGGCTCCATCACAAGCAAGAAATATATGCGCAACGAGATATGGTCGCTAGTCTCCTACCTCGGTGCACCTTCCTGGTTTGTGACCTTTGCTCCTGCTGATGTCAAGCATCCTGTGGCCCTGTATTTTGCAGACACCAATCTGAAATTTGTACCTGAGTTCAGAGACAAGAATGAGCGTCTGCGGTTGATTGCAAATAATCCAGTGGCCGGTGCACGCTTCTTCAAAATGATGGTAGATTTATTTATCAAGCATGTTCTTGGCGTGGGATTGGACAGACCAGGGCTGTATGGAAAAACATCAGGTTATTATGGGACAGTGGAACAACAGGGGCGGCTGACACTGCACATGCACATGCTTATCTGGATCAAAAATGCACTTACACCCCAGGAAATTCGAGATAAAATCATGGATCCAAACTCACCCTTCCAGAAGGCCATGGTGGAGTATCTAGAGAGTGTGCACATGGGTGAATTCATGACAGGCAGCATGGAGAGTGTGAAGCAGAACATAGCCGAGGAAGATCACAAAAATCCATCCAGGGTCCCACCCACAGAGACATTGCCAGAGCCACCACCCAAGAAGTGCGACCACTCTACCAAATCAGACTGTGATCAGTGTCAGAAGCATACATCCTGGTGGACTAGATTCAAGCAGACAGTGGATGAAATTTTATATCTGTCGAACAGGCATACATGTCGGGCATCCTCAAAGAAAGACAAGGCTGATCTGGATAAATCTGACAAACCTGGATTTGATAATCGTGGCTGTACAGACAAAAATGGAAATTGCAAAGCCCGGTTCCCCAGAGAGACCCATCCAGAGACTGTGGTAGACCCAAGCACAGGTGCACTTATCATGAAGAAGGGAGAGGCATGGATTAATACCATCACACCTGCAGTCACCTATCTCATGTGCGGGAACACTGATGTCACTTCTCTGCTGTCGGGCACTGCCATCAAGTCTGTCATAGCTTATGTTGCTGATTACATAACCAAGACCCCACTCAAAACCCATGTGATGTTCCAGTCTATCCAGCAAGTGTTTGAGCGCAATGTGGAGTTGTTAGGCAGTCAGAAGTCTACCAAAGAGAAGGCCCGATCCCTGATCACCAAGATAGTAAACTCGCTGACTGCATGCTCTGAAATTGGTGGACCCATGGCAGCCATGTATCTGCTCAAGTATCCAGACCACCACAAAAGTCACAAATTCCGCACCTGCTTCTGGAGAGGATATGTGTATGAGGTTATGCATGCAAGGGAGGACTCTGCCAAGATTGCTGAGGAAGGGACCACCAAAGTCATGCTCGGACTTTCAGGAACATCCAAGCGGATCATAGCATTGTCACCTGTGCAGGATTATATATGGCGACCCACTGAGTACGAGCACATGCCACTATATGACTGGGTCAGATTGGCAGATAAACAGCGCATCAAGCACCGCAAAAAGGGTCCCAAGAAATCTGAAGAGGATGTCACTGAGCAAGCCGACGTGGACTCGGAGTTTGAGGACAACTATGATATCAGTGATGCAGAATTGAAGGGTGCTGGAGCCAATGAAGAAGAAGAAGAATCTGAGGATGAACTCTTGCTCACAAAGACATCAAACCAGGAGCTTGAAGCAGATAGCGCACCTAAGCCCAGGAAATCCAGGTCAAAATATGTGCAGTTCCATGAAAATCATCCACAGTATGACACCCATCATGTGAAGCTGCTGGACGAGTCTGAGGCATATGTTCCCAACTTTATTGGTGGTTCACTCCCCAGAAGAGATGCAGGCAACCGTGAACAATACTGCATGACCATG